AGTTACGTATTTGAAGTGTAGGAGGAAACCGGAGTACCCAGGGAGAACCCACACATGCTCAGGGAGAACGTGCAAACTCCATGCAAAAAGACCCCAGGCCCGAACCCGGAACCTTCTTGCTGCAAGGCAGCAGTGCTACCCACTGTTCCACTGAGCAACATGTATTAATTCAGTTGTGAATAAAAAATATATATATATATATATTTTTTAGCGTGCACAACCTATATACGAAGGCCTTACTCCTCGATGTGCCCAACCCGGGTTAGAATCCGACCTGTGGTCCTTTGCTCCCCCCCCCCTGTCGTATCCTTTTTTTACTGTTGAAAAAAAATGAGCCACTGGTGCCGTAAAAACTCAAAAAAACTAAAAAAAAACTAAAAAAAAAAAGGTTTTGTACGCCTCGACTACATAGAATATACAGCAGCGTTAATAATACTAATAATTGATAATAATATAATAATTGAATTTTATTGACCTCATATTGGAGTAATTAACCGCTGCATTTAACCCATCCCCTCGGGGAGCAGTGGGCTGCCATTGTGTGGTGCCCTTGGAGCAGTGTGGCGTTAAGGGTCTTGCTCAGAGACCCAGAGTGCCAGCTGTGGGGTTACTTGCAGGACAAGCACACTGCTCTAACCACTAGGCCATAACCTCCCCAACCTCTTTTTTTTTTTTTATAATAATAGACTCTACTTTAACTCTACTGTATTCCAGCTTCCCTCTTAAGTATCCTATTATTGTTCAGTAAAACACTGTTGTAAAATTTAAAACGTTTTCCATAAAATAACAACTCAAATTGAAACCTATAAATTGGTAGAATGTCCGTTTTTTTTTTTTTTTTAAATCCAGTTCTGAAGTATATGGATCTGATTTCCATTAGCCTTATCTGATTATACCTGCATAGCTACCAGCATAGAAGTTGAAACAATTGTCAAAAATGATTCTTTAAGTGTAGAAATGAGGTGAATCCTCAGTTTTCTGTACCAGGATATGCACCAGTATATAATAAGTTTACCGTATAGACCTATGTACAGCAGTAAGATTCATCCTAATCTTAGAACTTACCAGTTCCTTTACACGACTTTTCTCCCCGTTCAGGTCCATAATATTATCTGAGCGTACTTTATTCATTACATCCTGCCGGATGGGAGAGATGAAGGCAGACAATGCTGAATAAATACTTTTAAATAATCTAAACCAAATGAAAAAAGACAAGATTATGCTTCAAACAATGTTTCTGGAGATGTTAAAAAAAACTGCAGCTTTAAAAAAAACAAACAAAATAACTACTTACAGCCAGTTGGACCTTGAACTGTAATAATTGGTTCTTGAGTTTCTGTAGAAATGTTAAAATACTTAAACCATCAGACCAGAAACAAATGAAAAAATGTAAAAAAAAAAAAAATACTCCAGTCATTCAGATTATTCAGATTATTCCCTATAATAAAAGGTAGACAGTCATCCTATCCTATTACGTGCACAATTTAAACCATTATAAACCATTTTTTAAATGGGGAAAATAAAAATAATAATTTCTAAAATAGCAACATAGTTAGATCCTGACTTATTGCTGCTGCTGCTTTGATCTCACATTTTTCCAGCTGAAAAAAGCTTGATAATTACAGTCTTACCTCGTTCTCAGCTAGAAGGGTGGAGAACTCGCTCTTCTCTAAGATAACCATGTCCTTCTTTACAGAAGCAATTTTAGACATTACTTGCTGCAACATGATTTCCTGAAAAAAAAAGAAAAGATTATTCATTAAAAAGAATCCAAATTCAAAGGAAGATAACCTGGGTATGCTACAATCTAGGTGTTGCAAGTTATATATAAAATGAAAAACAAATTCCAAGTTTGTTACTTTCAAATCTTTTAAAATCCAAGTAATGTTTAAATATTAAAGGACCAAACAGTGTGTCACCAGGTCTGCATTAATGCTGTCCTTGTCTCCCAGTTACCTTCTCTACCAACACATTTCTAACTGGACTAGGGCTGCAACTAACAATCATTTTCCAAAATATTAATCTGTTGATTGTTTTTCACATTAGTAATTGGATGACAAAAGGTTTTAAACAGGATTTAAAGCAAGTTAAACTAAAATTATTCCACTTTTTTAGTTCTGGATAGAGCATGGTGACGGACTAAAAAAAAACAAAAAAAACATTGGAAATCTCTTCATTCTGATATAAAATGTGAAATTGCGTGAAATCAAGAACCATTGTAGATGGCACTTGAGGTCACCAATGGTAACGTTTTAAGCCTAAAGTAAATGGTCTTAAATTTCAATGACAATAATCCTAATTTCTGGGTTAAGAAACCCACTTTAAAGGTTTATTTATTTATTTTTTTTTTTACATGACTAAAGCAGGGATTAAAGCAAAATAATCCTGAGCCTGAACTTTTTCGACACAAACAAGAAACAAGAAACTTTTTGTCTGTGTCCAAAAAGTATATGTCGAAAAAGTATATATATATATATATATATATATATATATATATATGTGTGTGTGTGTGTGCGCATTATCAAGCCATGATTGCCTCTGTTTTTACCCACGGGCAATCTAAAGTATGGACAAATATTTTTGTTGTTGTTGTAAAACCTAAACAGAAGTTCAAAGGTTTAAAACTAAAAAGTACTTTAGACATTGAGTTGTCAAAAGTATCGATACTCAAAAAAGTATCGATACTGAAATGTTGTATCCGGATACAATATTCGTTTTTAAAAGTATCGATACAGTGCTACCACCAGTGGCACCTAAGCAGTCATTCATCTAAAGTGCAGAATAGAGGACAATGCACTTTCTGAACACTCTGTGATTGAATAATTCTGCGCACTTTACAGTTTCAGACTTTTTTTCTGTAACAGGTGCAGCTGCTGAGAATTATTTTTGTTTCTTAACCGGTTTGGCTAGTGTCATTGTTATGTGTGCAAAGCATAGCCAAGGAAGAAACATTTAATTTTAATTGTATACGTTTTTTATAAAGCTTGCTTAATATTGTGCACAGCATACAACCTTTATTGTATTTAATTATTGTATTTTATTTATTAATGAAAATATTTCTGTAGAATTTTGGAGTCTTTGTTTTTATCCTTGTGGTATTGAAAATGGTATCGAATATTTTCCTTAGTATCAGCATCGAGTTGAAAAGTTTAGTATCGTGACAACCCTATTTAGATATTCTGTCACTTCCTTACGAAGTCTCACCTGTTGCACCTTGGTCACCATGTCACTATAGATAACATCCATAGTAGAGTTTGTAGTTCCAATCAGCACCTTAACCAACACTTCAGCTTGCTGAGTAGTAAATCCTGATTAAATAAAGAGAAAAATATCACAAAGAGTGTTATATCTTTTATTTTAATACTTCAAAAGTATGTGAAACTGTACGATTTGCTAAAAAAAATAAAATAACCCAAACCATTTTCTTCAAGGATTCGAACAACTGCATGAGTGTCAAAAAACAGCTTCCGGCCTTCGGTTTTTGGTATGTCTGGTTTAAGATCATACTGGAAGGCCCTGGAAGAAGTATTGAGCTCTGAAACAAAACAAATATAAAGTAAATTAGACTGACACCAACCCCTACTCAGCATAAACCACCTAGAAAACAGATGGATGAGTTAGTTTTCTAACAGAGACTGTCCACTGTGACAAACACACCTGGAAAATAAGCAACAGAGATGTATTGTGGAAACAGAATGTCCTATATGGGAATGGGTTTACATCAGAAACAGCATCAGGGCTTTGAAATGTTCAACACTGTGTCGACTAATGCTTTATTTAAAAAAAAAAAATCACTAATCTAAAATCAGGAGTGTCAAATAAATTTACTTAAGAAGCTTTTGTCAGTATCTATCATTTAGTTTAGAGCAGGCATCCCCAAACTCGGTCCTCAAGGCCCCCTGTCCTGCGGGTTTTAGAGGTTTCCTTGCTCCAGCACAGCTGATTTTAATTGAAAGCTGATTAACAGGCTTTTGGTCTACTGCAATCATTATAACCAGCTGTGCTGAAGCAGAGAAACCTCCAAAACCTGCAGGATAGGGGGCCTTGAGGACCGAGTTTGGGGATGCCTGGTTTAGAGTATTTATTTCACATTTACTATATTTGAAGACAAATATATGTAATGTTAAAACTGATGGTAACATGGACGCAGACAGGGAGCGGATGATACATCAGATCCTCATACAATCATCTTTGTAAGAGTTTAAATCTAAATGTTGATTGTGTTTCAAAAGCTATTTTGATTTGACTTTGATATAAAAGCATCCAGCTGCACACACAAAACCTATGATCAGTTAAATATTTATTATCTTATCGGAAATGTTTATTTTTACTTAAATTAAGGTGGAACATTTTTGACACATTCGCTTACAAAACATTTTCTAATAATAAATAAAAAATATTATAAAAACATGACCTCAACTGACCCCATAAAGAGCTTTTATTTTGAAAGAACCTCCAGCACGAGTTCAGGATTTGGTGGAGTAAAGTGAAACTTCCGTGTTATGGAGATTAAAAGTGTCCGGGGTAGGTTTAACGCAGTAAATTACTAAAATTAGGATTGAAATAAGTCAAGGGACCAAAGAAAGAACCGAACTTTTACCTCGGACGGAGATGTTTTTCACAGAAGACACATCCGTAACCTTCAGCCCAGTACTTCCTCTCCTTTTCAGTAGCTGCAGGTCAAAGTCCGCCAAACATGCAGAGGATGTTGCACAGTGGGAAGCTGCTGAGGTGCTAACAGCTGTCAGACTCCACGGAACAAGAGAAATGCTCGATAGCACTGCGGCATTAGCCCTGTTCTGGTTAAGAGAAGCGGGGTCACAGCGCCTCTGTGACTGTTTCAGTCTAATGACCTGCCATGGCAGCCGAGACTGGTTTAACACCATGGTCAGCGTGGTTGTTGACAAAACTTATATTTTCCCAAGACTGTAACTCGGTGAGATGAAAGTTTCTGAAGTGTTTACCGTGTCTTTTCGTGTTCTTATCGCCACTTTTCACCCGGTAGCTGACCGATTGTTGGTAAAGATGGCGGTGTCCTGTAGAACTTCCGGTCTTGCCTTTCAAAATAAAGCGCACACCCAACTTCATAGGAACATGTTTGGGTTAGCAATTTGCATGATCACTCTTAGTTCAAAATTCTGTACAGACTTCTCAGGGTATTCATTCTGCAAAAACCAAACTAAAAATATCTGCATATATTTAGCTTTTATTTCGCACTTTATTATTGTTGTTCTCACAGTAGGGGGACCGTAGAACTAAGGGACAATACAGGCCTGTGAGATTGTTCTGACTATGAAAATAAACTGATTATCTGAAGATGATCTGATTTTCTGATTTTCATAAGAAAGCAACACAGAATTATGATAGATATTATGTTTTATCTTCCTACCTGCATATACATCAACACAGAACAATTAAACCTATGTCACCCCTTTAAAGAAAATAGAATTCCATTTATTGGTTAAATAAAAGTCCATAAAAAAAAGGAAAAAATATATAGATCGATCTATCTATCTATCTATCTATCTATCTATCTATCTATCTATCTATCTATCTATCTATCTATGACTTATTTCTTGTTATTAAAATTTGAGACCCTCAATCATCACTATTTCTTAAGCTTAAAAACATTTGGGGGGGGGGGAAAAATACATTTTATATTAAAAGTATCATAACATACTCCTTCATTGAATTACCCATTTTCAGAAAATAAGGTCATCTAATGAACCCCTCAAAATTTATTAACTATCAACTCTATTTTATAATGAAAAATTGTCAGCAGATATCCAGTGTAAATCTTTTTCATCATCTTCACATCTTCAAACAAGGCTAAGCTTCCTATTATCTTCCTTGGGTAAACCTATAAGCAGCCACTGTGGATGGCGTAAAGAACTACAGGTTGCAGATCCCTGACCCAGATTAAGACATTTTGCAAAGATAAATAATAGATTGGCCACCATTTTAAATAAAAATAAAAAAACTGTATAATTTCCGTCAATAGTGCAATAAAAAAAGGAAGTCCCTTCATCATCTTGTATTTGATGGTGTGAGAAAAATGGAGGATTAAATAGGCTGATATCGCCAAACAAAACATATTATTAAAACAGAACATTTTCACAAGAACTATAAATAAAGGGAAACTGAAGGAAGAAGCAACAAAATTATGTTTTTAAGACAATGTAATTTTGTTCAACAATATGTTGCTTCTATTTCTATTCTTGACAAAATGCTTTGTTTCCTTTTCTTCTGTGTTTCACACAGGAAGATCACCCGCTTCCTCAGAAAATAATGTACCGGTACAAAATTTTCTGTAAATAAACCCCCAAATGCTAGCATGATGATAGATGTCGGACACAAGTCCTTTGGTCTTGACTCCATTAAACTAACTAATTTGCATTTATGTAATATAAATTCACAGGGCAACTTATCGACTGTGGGTAGAAAGCAGCTTATTTTAATTTTAATGAAACACATTAAAAACTGATTTAATTCAGACGTTGCTTGAGATTAAACAAATAGGGAATTAATGTTTCAATCATTTTTGTCCAATTTATTTTAATCTTTAGCAGATTCCTTATTAATGTAGACTGAAAAAACAACAACAACAGGGTTTTGTCAAATTTGATATCTTTATAATCCACAGTAATTGTATTAATATTATAATAGTCCTTTAGAGTGCATATTATTTACAAAATAGTTTACAAATCTATTACATCCTCTACCAAGCATAAGCACCTATGTACTTACATTGGCAACAAGAAAATATAACAAGTGTCCTTCTAGTATTTTTGTTCCCTCCATTTTTTTTCCTTCCATGCATCATAAACCATCAAGCAAACTGTACATGAAAATTCTTTTTTCTTGTTCTTTTTTTTTTTTTTTTTTTACATCTAAGGTCTAAACTAATCCAGCGTTCCAGTTGTAGAAGGTATGAACATGGATCTTGGAATAAAGTCAGAGCCAACTTTATATGGGACAACTTCGAAGCTGCATTCAGTCTATGTCGAGAGGCAGAGCTTGAAGTCCAGTTTGTTCCTGTTGTAAGTTGGAAAACCAGTGAGACAAGCCAGCAACCATGTTTTTCTATTTAGTTGATTTGGTCAAACATGAAAAGGACATGTCCAGAAATTCATTTTTTAAAGTTCTTATGTATACCGTGGTTATATGAGACACAAACTGTGAGAAGATCACATGTCAGCTAACTGATATTTGCAGCTTTTACAAATGCACATGTCCCTGGCAGCCATATTGGATTTTGAGCTGTTAAAAGCACCAAGTCAGACCTCATGGATGTTCTTGATGTTTATACATACATGCCTACACGTTCTTTGCAACTAACCCTTAAAATCCAATTTGTCAACAAAAACATTCCAGCTTTAGTAAATAGGCTAACAGTTATTAGAATATTATTTCATTCAGACGCTCGGGGAGCATTTGTCAGAAAGGTCACAGTGCTCTGAGTGCTATTGATTTAATAAGATAAAATTTAAAGCTGCATTTTTTTTTCTTACTTTTACTATGTGTTATGTATGCAGAAGCTGTGTAAGATGCAATGGTACATTTTTTTTTTTTAGGGATTCTGTCCTAAAAGTCCAATTGATTTTCCAAATTATACAGTCTGACAGCATAGTACAAAAATGGAAATGCACCTTAATAATCAGGTCTAGATTATTTCAGATTATGAAAAACGTCCTAACTGGCAGACATGCATTTACATGACTAATCTGAACTTAAGAAGCATATGGTAGATTCCAATTAAATGTAAAAATGGGACACTAGCTGGCATATGGATTAAGTCTGGTGTACTGTTTATGAGCAATTTCCTCACTCTCTGAAAAATCAGTGAGGGATGTAAATGCAAAGCTTTCCACTTTACAGTCTTAATGAGTATTTTAGTCTGACTGAAAAAGACCAATAAGTTGAATTCTTTAAGGTTTTGCTCATGAGAAAAGGAAAACACAGACAGATAAAGTGGCTGCTACGAAAATAACACCAAACAGCAGTAAGAGCACAAATATGTGGCTCCGCTGGCAAAGAGCTTGAGATCCAGTAGCCTGTTGCTCCTCGTCTACTGGAACCAGAGCCATGGAGGCGCTGTCAGTGCTGCTGAGCGGGTCTGCATACTGCGGCCCATGGGGCTCCACCATCCAGCGCAGCACGTTGACTTTCATCTCCATGTCATCAATCATGCGGTCGATTTGGTTGATTTCTAGCTCCATGGTGTTGCGTTCTTGGCTCTCGAGGCCTTCAGGGAGTGTTTTTGTCTCAGCCTCATTCATGTCTGGCAAACTCAGAGCCCGAGCTGCTACCTCACTGCATCCTCCTGAGGGGCAAAAGTTAACAAATCTTTCTTCAAATTGATGTCTACAATTTTGATGTTTAATGTATTACAGTTTATAATTTTTTCACTGAGATTATGATTCCTTAAAAAATGTTAAAAGCAATCAAAAAGTTATATCTCAAACAAATAAATACCTATGCAGTTTCAGATTTTTTCGATGTACTTTATATTGATAACAAAAATCCCAAATCATGCAGTTCTAAACATAAGAAAACTAAGTCCTGTGACTTCTTTGAAGTATGGCTTTTCATCCTAGAGCAGCTTTGTTTTTAGTTGTACATACCTATTGAAATGAAGGTGCAAAACCCACTGCATTAAGTCAAAACACGGTACATTACTCCTTTTAGACTCAATTGACCATATGAATAAAACTTTTCTCCAAGTGATGAAGTGATTATTTGAATTATTTGAAAGTAGGTAGGGCCGCCTTCAACTGGAACAACTAAAAAAAATTCACCTGGCAGAATTAATATTCATCGGTGCAGACAGAGTGTTTGCATAGCTTGACAGGAGATAAAATCAAGCTAGATTGACATTATCCAGCTTGAAAAAAGGAGTCCCTTTGAACAGTGTTTTGTGTAAATTCTCAGATTCATATATTTCAGAGTTGTGGCACTCTGCAGCATAGATTTTTGCATTTCAAAATAGATGGAGATTAATTGTGTTTAGCTGCATTATTAGGTGCATGAAAAAAGTATTATCAGAGTATCATTTAAGTGGTGAAATAAGTAAAGTTATTTAACACATTCACGCAATCTCTGATTAAATGATGCCCTAGGCTCTTTACACGCAAAAAAATCTAAATCTTGATAAGTCATTTTTTCTTAAAATAAGTGCATTTGTTCTTGAATTGAGGAGATAAAAGAGACATCTTGCCAATGGAAATAGACAATTTAGATTCAAAATAAGAAAACACAATTGCATTGTCTTATTTCAAGTGGCTATTATCTAATTATCTTATTTTAAGAGTAAAAACACTGATTCCATTGGCAAACTATCTAATTTACCTACTCAAATCAAGGATAAATACACTTAATTTAAAAATGTTTTCCATATTTCTAGATCGTTTTTCAAGTTTATGACTGTATCTTCACTGGCTGGTATAATCCCAGTCGCCACAGTTTGGAAGCGTTTGAATGATCTGGCCCATTCAAGTAAGCATTTCAATTGCAAGTCCCTCTGCCACTGGACATGCAGGGTTAATACCATTCCCCAGTCTAGTGTCAAATCAGTGCAACAATAGCGCAATTTACAAACAACAACGATGATTGTCTAGGCTTCAGCAGAACAACTTTTTGTGTCATGTCTTTATTTGTTGTGGGTGGTGACATTTTTCTGTCTACCACCCACTGAATTGTTAAGTGTAATGCCAATGACCCCGCCAGAACCAAACTGACCATTATTCTATGGACCTACCTCAGAGGTAGGACCCTGCAGAGTGCTGTCGACTTCAGTTGTACGGGCCAGTTTAATAATTGAAAGGCTCAAAATGATGAACCAGAAAAGACCAGAATGATCCGCACCGACTATAAGTAGACTTTGCATGGACAGTGATAGGTGCAGATTCTTATTTACCTTCTACGCCGGTGTGCACGAGTGATGAGGAGTCAGCCAGTGAAAAAATCCCGCTCATGTTCCAAACTTTGCACATGTCGACGTGTAGAAGCTCTAGAGATGAGGAGAAGGCCACCCAAAGGAGCTCCATCTCCTTACGCTGTCCTTCAGGCAGACTCTTGTCCCGGAGGTGGGTGGTCAGGTGATTGCAGATGTCCCCGGCCAACTTCTGGGCCTTTTCTCTCGTTTGTCGGAGCTCATCGCGAAGCTGCAGGTTGTCCGTGCTCCCACCTACACATGAGGCCAAATGCCGATAACAAGCCACAACCTGCGAGAGGAAGAAATGTCAAACCAGGGTTCAGACAACCATAAAGAGCTGATTTCTGTAGCATACTTTTTTTTTTTTCTTTAAACATGCCCTTAACAAAAGATTCATACACTTTCGGCTTTTTCAAATTTTCAATCACCAACCCTTATTGTGATTAAACCGGATTTGGCTTGATAGGCCAATACAAAGTAGCTCAAGGTTGTAATGAGGAAAACGATACAAGGTGGGCAGTTTTTTTTTTTTTTGTTTGTTAAACCATTTTCTCTGTGATCATAGCTGTAGATCTTTTTGGCTTTGTCTCTATGCACATCAACAGAAAGAATATCCTAGAAGTAAGCCAGATTAAATGGAGAACATCGTGGAACAAACATTGCAACTTATCTGCAATTAATTTAGTTTCTAGCTTTAACGGAACCCTTGTAACATAAATATCTATTGTTCTAAACCAGTCCCTTATAGCTATGGTTTCAGTTTAGTATAATTTTTCCACTAGAAACTCCGTCCGAAGCTCCATCCATCTCTCCATCAACTCTAAAAAGCTTCTCTGATAGCATCCCCACAACATGATGCTACCAACATTATGTCTTATAGTGGGTGTGGTGTTTGAGGCTAGTGTTTAGCATTTGTTTTCTAATGGAAATATTCAGTTATAACCTAAAAAGTCAATTTTAGGTGAAATCTACGCCCAGTATCTTCAAGCCCTGCATATGTGACTATTTATGGCTTTTTCCTAGCATATGTATGTCTGCCACTCTTCCATAAATGCCTAAGTTGGAGAAAATAGAAAAATACTTGTCCAGCGCAGAGATTTACCAACCTGTTTATGAAAACCACCTCCACAGCACTCTGTTTAGGCTGATAAATAGTCTATACCTCAACTTTTAAAACGTCTTTGATGGTTAGCAGCCATATTGGAATGTGGCTAGTCACAATTCCCAATTCAATTATTTATATTTCTATCTGTAAAATATTTTGATAGATATGTACATTTATTTACTTTCTCTTAACTAAGCCCATTGAAGTCTGAGGTTGCATTGTGACAAAATGCGGAAAAGCCCAATGGGTGGAAGTGCCTTTGCAAGGCCCTTTGCATAAGCACCGATATGCTCTGGCACTTCACGTCACATAAACCACAGGACCACTAATCTTCTTTAAACATTGTCCATCTATTAGTCATCTTAGCAACTACATAAACGACACAAATTCAAAAACGCATGACTACAGCTAAATACATGTAAGCAGCAGAGTAAGAATATCGTAAATCTAATAAAACCTTTGACTTTTAGACACAAAATCTTACCGACAAAAAATTTGAAGCCTATTCTACAAAGTTCTAGAGAGTCTGAAAAAAGACACATTTCCAATGAAATGACATTCATCATGAAGTTAGTGGGTTTTATTTATAGTTATTAGGTTAACCTCAGGCGATTAGCAGCAGTGGTTTCATTCATTAAAAATATTAGATATAATCTCATTATCATGGAGCTATTTGTAGATAAGCCAAAACAACCTTGCAGACCAGAGTACGAGCGGCCCTTTTTTTTAGATGCAATACAATAAAAAATAACAAAACTTCCCTTTATTTTAACAGTCAACCTTATTATCTTTAAATGTACTATTTTTAATCACTAAAATATGTAGCTTTGATTATTTAAACAATCAAAGGTTTGGTTATTCAAAGAAGACAGCACTGAGAATTAACATGGTTTACATTTTAAACTCAATTTAAAGGTTAATTTTCAGTTGGTTTTCTGCTGTTATTTAAAAGGGCGGCTCTTAGCACTAATAAAACATTGATTTTAATGAGATGGAAGATATAAAATGGTTTAAACTTGATCTTCACAGACAAAAGTATAAGACACTGTTCAAAATAACAGGAATATTTGATGTCAAGTGGGGGGACAGAATTGCATGGCATTACTATAGCATCACTTAATAGAGGAACCATAAAGATGCAGTGGACCAGCAGATTCTTTTTAAAGAGAGTGCTCTTTTAGCTGCAGGGGGGAAAAGATTCTTCTGTTTTTGTGTCATGTCTGGACATATTGCATGGATAAAGATGGAAAAAAAATAGCAAAATATGTATTAGTTTTAATACATATTCCAATAATAATGCAATAAAACTCTTTATGAAACAAAGTTCTTAAGATAAATCCCTAAAAAAAATCACAAGAAGATACATTTGTGGTCATTTCAATTCTTTTTTCTTTTCTAATGCTGAGAGGAACCATACATATTGTGCTAGAATTGGGTCATCCCATTGACTTTAGCAGTAAAACATTAATAAAAGCCTGCTGTAGCTTACCTTTATCAAAGAATCCACCAAAGCCTGTCCATCGGCCAAAGCCTTGTCTCCGCTTGCTGTGCAATCATCGCCAACTTTGTTATTTACAAGTGGCATGAGGATGATTTGCACAGAGTCTCAGACTCTGCCACAGCAGGCGAGATTTCGGCCCCTCTGCCCTTCACTTCTCTGGCTGCCCCTGCTCCTCTTGTCTCACTGGAAGATGCTTCATTCAGCGCCTCAGAGCCTGGATGCGCTCAGTCCCAAGGCAGCATGTTGCAGAGTGAAATACCCCATCTGCAAATAAACTGCAATTACACGCGCAGAACATGCTTTTGGAGGCCAGAGCGGGAAAGTCCAAGCAATAAAGAAAAAGTATAATAAACTGATGTAACTCTTAAGCAAGGTGCTAATCCTGTGATTGACCCCTTTGCACTGACGCAGGCTAAGACGGACTGCTAATCTCATTAACCATCACCGAGAGATAGGAGAGCAGCTGGCAGCCTATACCACAATGCTCCTTTCACTAACTGAGGAGGCTTGGCTCCGTTTCCTCAAGCGCTCCACAGACTACACCTCCTTCACTCATCTGTAAAGGTCAACCCTCTGCATGAAACATGCAGACTTTCCAGGGGTAGGGTTGTTAGTACACTGCATAGAATAAAATGTGTAGTAAAATAGTAAGCAAAGATGGAGTTTTTCTTAACTTATTAACATGTCTCCTTTTTTCCCATTGACCTGATAAAGATACCTAGATAAAAACCAGTGTAATACATTCTGTCAGAAGAAGACAAATTAGTAGAAAGTCTACACTGCTATTAAATAAACCAAGCAGCGGGGAGTGTAGGCCTAGTGGTTAGAGCAGTGCGCTTGTGCTCTGAGAAGGTTGCCTTCCCCGGTTCAATCCCCACAGCATGCACTCTGTGTCCTTGAGCAAAGACCCTTAACCCCACACTGCTCCCCAGGCGCTGTGCAATGGCAGCCAACTGCTCCCCAAGGAGCTGGGTTGAATGCAGAGAGTAAATTTCTTTGCTTTGTACTTGACAATAAATTGAATTCTTATATTCTATCTGTAGTACCACAACATGCAGCAGTACGGTCAGGGATACAGTCGCACAAAGGTTTGAAGCAAGTTCTGTATTTAATTTGAAAAAATATTGCACAACTTTAACCCTACCAAGGCCACCCACCTATTCTGATAAGAGCATTCATTTGCTAATGAACCAGGTGGTTCTTGGTAACTTTGGAGGAGCAGTGGAGCTGCACCGTTAAGTTGGGAGAATCTGTAGACAGGACGACTATTGTTTTCTTGGGGGGAATAAACTTTATCATCCATAAAAAGACTTGCTAAACTCTAAAATACTCAGGTTGGTAAATATAATAGACATGTATTCCATTCCTTCTCCATTAGAGTCACAGGGTTAGTTGAAGCAAAGATCCTTTTTGTCAGGATAAATGTAAGTATCTTGATTGCTAAGTCACAAGGTTAGAAATCAATGGGAAGATTTCTGGCAGCATTTATAGATATATTTGCCCATACAGACATCAAGGTAATGGAGTTATCTTTTCAAGAACCAGGTTTGATAAAACTGGACATTGTAATTGTGGCATTGAAAAGAGAACAGGTGCACTTAGAGTACAGATGGACACCTGATAAAGACAACTTAGAAACTGGTTTACTGATATCAGTGATGTATAGGAATCCACTAGAACTGTTTTTCAGGCCTCATTTCAATTTTTGTTTTGTTGTTTTGCATCAGCGTTGACTCTACCATATAGGACCAGAAAGCAGTATGCCTCCAAGCGCCGTTGGAGTTAGCATAGGGACCTCCTCATGTTCCTAATCACAGGTAGGTGCTATACAGCTGCCCTCTATGTGACAGGAAATATAGACACAGCCCACATAACTGAGCTAAACAAAAATACTTTCCTCATATTTAGTGTGACACATTCCAATCTACACACCTTTGTTTTGAGTTTTAAAATAGAGAGTTTGCACCATCTGTATTAGTTTTTTTTCAGAAGGCTGGAGTTCAAGTTTGACTAGCATCATTCATGTACGTTTCAGTCAAGTAATGTTTCTAAGGCTAAAGGCTGCCCAGATTTGGCAGCAGCCCAAACCCCCTTTCTATCCCATTCTGGTTCTCATTTAACCCCACAGAAGATTATTGAAGGACCGTTGCAACACCAATTTATTAAAGCAAATTTATTCTCGTCACATTTTTAGCTTCTTCACATATTTAAATATTTTAAGTAATGTCTACAGTGCAACCAATCATATCAATATAGAACATTTCTTAAGTGCATAAACTGATATTTTAGGAGATTATGAGAATCCATGGCATAACCATGTCACAGGAATTAATTAACCAGAGATGGTGAGAAGGGAATAAAAAAAATGCAGATCAGAGTTTTTGGTTGTGACTAAAATGTAATACCAGGAGTAGATTTATTAGAGGGAGACCTGTCTGTTTTCTTTCACCATTTCATAGCACAGCCTACTGGAAAAAATGTTGAGGGAAGATATCCTGCAACTTTAAGGGTTTAAAGATCAATTTGATGTTAACTATCACACCTGACCTATTAAAAGAATCCTCTATACACCAAGTCGACCCATTTGTCTCATCTATATTTTGGTCAGTGCCAACACCATGTAGAGGGACATTTACAAAAATATGCTGGAACCGTCCCTCCCTGCAACTACAAATTTTAAACTAGCAAAACCTTTTAAAAGAAATGTTTTGGCCCATGAAAATACCTGTTAAGCTATACTACCGTTAAGTTGTACAATAAAAAAAAAAAAACAATCCTTTACTGTGATTTCCAGTTCTTGGGTGTGGCTGTTGTCTCTCAGAAGGGAGGGGCTAATTGAATATATGCTGTAGGATTCTCATCCAAATGCTTAATTGACAATGTTCCCGTGTATAATAGTGCTGCTATCTTTAAAGATGGATAGAGCGATTACAATTTGAAGTGACAAAATTTTATTAAAATGTCATTAAGAATTTAACATCTAGAATTAAATCATTTATAATCAAGAAAGTAAAATTCATAAAAATCCTTATAGAAAGAACAGAAGGTGGGATCTTCAGCTTCGGGGAGTTCTGGGGGTTTTCCTGAGACTGCGGCTGGACGCTCCCTTCCGAGGTGATGTGACAGCCTCCTTGATGTTGGCCAGGAAGCCTTTCTTGGGCTTGGGCTGCACAGGGGACTTCTGCGAGAGCTTTTCAATTTGAGTCTTGAGTGAAGCGATCTCTCTGTCCTTCTCAGCATTCAGACGTACAGCATCTCCAGTGGACGCCGTCTGGACACCCAGCATAGAAAATAAACACAGATGAAGACTGTTTAAGAATTCTTTCCCAATTAAAAGCATCTCACCTGTTCGTCAGCCTTCTTCTGTAGAGCCTCCAGATCAGCAGATTTCTCCAGAAAACCAACCCTGATATCTTCCAGAGTTTGGCTGAGATCAATCAGCCTTTTCTCTAAAGACAAAATCAACTGAAGACCAAAGTTTTAGATCATTACATGTTCAGACATTCTACAAGCGAGCAAGTCTGACATTCCTACCTCTTGCTTATCCTCACACATTCGCTCAAGGACACATTTTTCTTTGTAAAGACGCATGTATCGATCATCTGTAAGGGAAGAACAATTTTTAAGAAAACTAAATTGATCAAATTTGAGATCTCAGAATTGAGGGGCATCCTTTACCTGCCTCTACATCTGTAAACGTTTCAGTCTGACATCCCTTCTCCTCTGTTTGAAGTGGAGCAACTCTGTTTGTGCCGGACAGCAAATTCTCCAACTCCGACACTTTACGTTTGAGAGCCTATATGGTTCATAAGAGGGGGAAAAAAGGCTTTTGCATTGTAAAGATTATCAGTGTCCACCTTAAAACATTCAGTGTTTTGACAATTTGAAGACTTGTCATTTTTTTGGGTCATTTTGCATACACAAAAGTATACAACATAAAATGTAATTTTGTACAGCTTTCAGAACATTTCCATTCTACAGTATAAAGCGCAGCAGTGATCAAATATAAAGGGTGTGGGAGGAAAAAAAAAAAAACATTGTGCAAAAACGCATGGATATGCAAGTTCAGAATATTGATATATATGGCACAAATGTGCAACATTTCATTTTGTGTCAGTTTGATGCATAGTTTGTGACACTTTTTCTTCAACAGTTCAGCTGTCTAATGGCAGTGGGGAAGAAGATTTTGCAGAATCAGCTGGTCCTGCATCGAAGAGTGACTATTGTGAGGTAATAAACAGTGAGAAGAAGAAGAAAAAAAAGAGGGGCTTAGATACAAATACTGTAAATCTAGTTTAGTCTGTCATTTAGGAATTGGTGTAAAGTGAAAGAGTTCAATGTGTCAGGTGATATGAAGTGATCTAAACATTTTGTTACTGTAGATACTTTTTTTTTGCACACACCATGATCATATATAAAAAGTCTTGATTTTAGAACATAAAAAGGTATACATGTAAAACTTATAAAGTTGAATCTGTAGATAAATAGGTGCTTTTCACCATCATATTGTTAGCTCTAAAACAAGGCACGTAAAGTATAGCAAAAATATCCCAGGCTGCATCTCAATTTAATCCAACAAAAATATTAATGTAATGGTGTGCAGACCTATTCAACATTGCAAAAGAGGAAATCCAAGTCAGTCAACTTTTGAGGCAAGTGTATTTTCCCCCTGATTAGAGTGAATAAGTAAAACAATCTTCCAATAGATCAATTTAATTACATTTAAATTTACATAGATCCTTTTCATTTAAAACAAAATTTTATTTCAATTGCATAATATTTAATTAACTTATTGTAAGGCCACAAGAAGCTGGTTAGTTTGATTCTCTTCATTAGCGCACAACTTTAATTCTCCCATCTATATCCTTGCTGAGTGAATAATTAAACGACTTGCAATGATCAAACATAAATCCTTACCTCAGCTTTCTCCTGTTCTTCTGTGAACTCGTCTAGCGGTACGTAGTTGTCCTCCAGATCATTCATCGCACACTGATAGGCATGCTCCTTGATTGCATCTTTAAACATCTCAAAGGTATCCTCCAGTTTTTCTGCATAACTTTCCTTTAGTTCTTCAATCTGTCGACTTGATAGATTAAAAAAGTAAACCTTTTAAACAGAAGGTTATTAAACTGAAGTGCAATCTACGTCATTAAGATTTGATTCAAAAATGCTTATTCCAAAAGGGAAATCAACTGCAACTCATTTTCAACAGAAAAACATACAGTCGAAGTTCTTCGCTCTCTAAAATCTGTTGCAACATGGCGTCCCCCATTTCTTTACGGATCTCCACTTCCTGCACCAGGTTCTTCCTTCGCTCTGCAAGAAGTCTAGTTCGTAGGTTGTCAATGATGTCCAGGAGCTCCTTAAAAAGGGGATACATGAGGTGGTGAGTTTATACCGGATAGGTGCGAAGGTCAAAGATATGGAGCAGGAAATGGTTTCTAGCCGTACGTTCTGTGGCAGCATAGTCATGTCAGCTTCGTCCTCTTCATCAAGCAGGTTTTCATCAGGAAGGTAGCTTTCATCCAGCTGACTATCAACTGTGCCATTCATCAACAGTGGCTTCCCATCCCGGCCGACCAGACAAGGGGCATGACACCTGTCTGGGATTACCTGCACCACCTGGGAAAAAGGCTCGGGTTGCAAGAAATCTCATTAAAATTCTGAAGAACCTCAGTTTCCATTTGCTCAACCCAACCTGTTTGGCGACGGCAGAGAACTTCATCACATGAAGCGTCTCATCATATGTGGACGCGCACTGGTTGATGTTAACAATCATGGAAGCTCTTCCTTTGCCGCAGAAGAAAGCCTGAAATAGCTTTGTGAGTTTGCTTTCTCTGAAAGGAATGTGGCTGGACTTTCTGTTTAGAGAACAAGATGCTCCAATCAAATTCAAAAACAGATGTTTAGGGCTTAGCAGTGGGCTTCCTGCCTCCTGCTACCTACCCATCAGCCTGACTGTTACGCAGAGCATTGATGCACTTTCCCAAGATAAGCAGGGAATTGTTGATATTTCCAGCCTCCTTCAGCCGCTCTCCGAACGTCTTTGTTTTGTTGCATCTTTCTGAACCAGCCAGGTCACAGAGTGAGAACCTGAGAAAGAGAGACCATTAGTAACAGGTCCCTACATTAAAGCATTGTTGGCACAGAGCAAATAATGGAAATCTAAGTAAGTTTGTCTTAAGATAAAAGCATTTCTTTTTGAATGAAGCAGTTATTGATACACTTTGCGAATGGAATAATGCTAGTTACATTTAAAATAAGAAAAAACTGCAGTCTCATTTCAAGTGCATAATATCTAATTGTCTTATTTTATACTTGTTTTAAGAGTAAAAATGCTCATTTCATTGGCAGATTGTCTTATTTACCTGCTTAAATTAAGGGTAAATACCCTTAATTTAAGGCATTTTTACTCTTTTTGAGAATTTTTGTAGTGCAAGAAACGTTCAGTGACAGCTCTTAAAAAAAAAAAAAAAAAAAAAAAGACAAAATTAAAAGGCATCAGAGATGCATAAAACATGGATGTTTGGAAATGGATACTTCAGAACCTACATAGCAGCCTTTACATCTGCTTCAAACCATCTGTTCAGAAGTAAAGGGCTGGTCTAAGCTTCCAACGATCTCAGTTGCTGCAATCTAGTCTGATAATTAGTTTATTCACAAGTACTGTGAACTCAATGAAGCTCAGGCATCAACAGTCTTATCTGTATGAATCATCCAATTTTACTAAAATAAAATGCACAAAATATGTAGTTTTTTTACAGAAAAAGTTATGTACCGGTAATCTATATTTTTAGCTGGAACAGCAAAAAATAAATAAATAAAAGACTGGAGTGTAACAAAAAGTAGCTTTGATAAATTAAAACTGTACAATAAGAAACTAAGTGAACAGTAAATATAAAGCTCATCTTTGTTCTCAAACTCCTTCCTTGTCTGTGCCTCAAATTGGTCCCCTAACCAATATTTTTTCTTCTTCATAAATAAATGACTTATGTTGGGTTAAAGATATTTTGATGTAAAACATTCATTATTTACCATCAAATTGTTTCTTACTATATTTTAGGGCTGTAGCCATCAATTGTTTTAGTAATCAACTAAAACAATTGATCACATTTAGTAAAAGAAAAATTAGTAAACATTTGGAATTTAGAAAAAAAAAACTGTTCACTTCTGATAAGTGTTAAATGGAAAAAAAAACAATGGGAAAAATCACAAATGTAAACACATTTTTATATGTAAAAAGGATGTTTTAAGGCTATGTTTAATATTTATATGTTTTAGAGTGTGTACCGTGACTGTAGTTTATCACTCAAGTCCATCACCAGATCAGTTTATGATCATTTGAATAAATGCAAATTATCAGATTAATCTTTTCAGACTCATTTCTATACAGAAGTCATGCATGTAAAAAATAAAAATTGCTTTTACCTTGTTATCTTTGCAAATGTTTTACAGCTTTTGTGTGTGGAAATACAACTTCCTGAAATCACAGACCATCAGTATAGGAGCTCACTTTGCGTTTTTAAATTAAAAAATAGTAGGTGTGCATCAACTGCTTTAGGCTACTAATAATAACATCTGTAATTTATTCTAGCCTTCTCTCGCTGCCTGCCAAAAAAACCCCAAAAGGTCTGCCAAATTTCTATTCAAGTAAATGCTTCCTTCTACAGAGGCATGGTTCAATTAGACGCATATTGTCACCAGTTTGGATAAAACAAAGAAGCATTTAACAAATCAAGTTTTTAGTTAAACACATAACATTTTTAAACATTACTTTGCAATGGGCAGTAACCTCTATATCCTTGGATCACTAAATGGATGAAGCGGACTCAAAGTGGCTGTATTTCATATCTTATACTTATATAGAAGCAAACCTCCAACAGGAGAACAGATGCTCTCAGCCTCAATGCATGTAGCTTATATAGTTGGACCGTTTACTTAAAGCAGAAAGGATGTGACATTTCTCAGGAGTAAAAAGTGGAAACAACACTGATTCAGTATAATGATTCCCTTACAAAAACAAAGAAACGTTCTTTTCTCTCATACCAAATGTCAAAGTTTTTTCCTCAAATATTTAGCTGAAAGTTTTGGTCAAACCTGATATTTTATCAATCTAATGCACCAAACAAGCTCAGACAAAATATACATTTATGTTTTACCTCCTTTGAAGGAGGATCTACCTACTTACTCAGAAATCACTTTGACCGTTTGTCCCTCAATCTTCAGTAACTTCATGGTGAATATACTGTGACTATAAAAGCAACAACAAGGTCATAGATTTAAGAACAACATAAAAAGGAAATGCTGACAAAATAAATGAAAATCAGTTTGCCTTCTACTGGATGAATGGTTCATTTTAGTGGCTGCAGCACTTCTGTTTTTATTTCCAAACTGGACCAGTTTGTTGGCTTCACTCAGATTCTGGATGTTAATCCACCTAAGATCTGTAATAAAGAACAAAACAACACGTAGTCTTTAAATGACTGTAAAAGCTAAATGCATCATTAACTTCACTCCCTCCACACCTTTCACGTAAGCATTTCCAGCTCCATCGTCACACACCCGTAGAGAGGAGCGCTTCTTGGACAGGGATGGCTGGAGGAGGTCATAAACGCACTCGTTGTAGATTTCAAAGAAAGCCACCCACAGGGCAAACTGGTCTCCGGTGGCTTCTGCTGGACTGCTGAGGAACCCTGAGGAGGAAACAAACCAAGAACAGCAGACAACATGATTAGATTCCATGCAACAAACTCAAAAGCCAGTTTTAGACTCTACTTTCTATTAAACCAATAAAACTTTAGTTACCACTGCTAACCAATTAGAAAAATGCATAAATAAAAGCCTTTAAATATAAGAGAAAGAACACATTGAGGTTGCATCACCTGGTAAACTGCTGGATGAAGAGAAAGATGAAAGACTGGGATCATTGTCTGAACTGCCCCTTCTTTGACGATCACATTCCTGGAGAGATACAACAGTAAGGATACTAAAGACGATTACAGCAAAATTCTCTGACATCTCTGGATATTTGGAATAAATTCCAGGTTAATCGAAGGGTTTACTTCTTTGACTGAAGCAAGAATGGTGGCCTTAACAGTCCTCTCCTGTTTAACTTGATCAGGATCCAGAAACTGTGCACCATTCCTCAGATATGGTTTTAAGTCCATTTCTTTGTACTGATGGCCTCCGATGCAGTGAAAGGTGGCATCCAACACTCTCGGAAGAATCCCCGGATCTTTTGGCGTTCCTAAACGGATTTTAGTGCTGAATTTAATGCTTGCACTCGATTAGTCACAGTGTATTAAGCTCTTAAATATGGCCTCTGCTTCCAGGGTTACCTTGGATGGTAAAAGTTTTTCCAGCATTAGTTACTCCATAGCTGAATATTAAAGCATTTTTTCCTTCCAAGAAATCAAACACTTGGCTTCTCACTGTGTCCTCAAAAAGGTCGACTTGTGTCGTCTGTGGTCCAAAAACCTAGAGGACAGCAAGATGGAAGGAGGTCAGTTTGATGCGGAGAAGATTCCCAAATAGTTGCAAAGCGTGATTCAAACTGCCCTGACCTTTGAGAAGGAGAATTTATGGATGGACAAGCCGATTCCTTTCTCGCTGCTCTTCATGGTGGCAGACCCCTTAGGTGCGCTCAGAGTCACCGTCTGGTCATCCTCAATCACAACACAGTCCTAAGGAGAGGAGAAGGTTTGGATCAGTTTTACGGTGGTGTCATTTAAGCTCATTTAAAGATTCAGATGATCAAAATTCCTTAACGAGTTACAGATAATCCTAATTTTGTATTTAAAAGGCTATCAAATAGGTTTCAATAAGCACCATTTAGGGTTCAGAGCCCAAAGCAATGAGATAGTACTGGTGAAACTCACTAGCAGAATTCCAAGGGTGGAAAGTAATGAATGACATTTACTCAAGTTACTGTAATTGAGTACTTTTTATGAGTAATTTGTAATTTTCTGAGTAGTTTTTGAAATATGTAATTTTTACTTTTAATCAAGTAAATTTGAACCTAAGTAGTTTTACTTTGCTACATTTAAAACCCCCTTACGTTACTGAGTAAAAAAAAAAAAAATAATAAAATACTTATGGTGAAAAAATTTAATGTGGCCCTGCCTGGCATTTACCCTTTGTATTGTCCCATAATCCAGTGCTGCACTTCGGAAGATGGCAGTTGCTAATCACAACTTAGGGAGTATGGATGAGGAAAGGCCTGAAGAGGAAACATATTCTGGAGACGAAAGCCAGAAAAACCCTTGGCCATATTTGGAAGGATTATTTGTTTTCAAATGCACAAAAGGGAAAAATGTGATAATGCAGTGTAACATGTGCCTGCCCAGCAAAAAGGAGCTTTCGGCTTTTAAAACATCAACATCCAATTTACTTTAAAATGTGGCGGTAAGTTAGTTATCATGGTGTTGTCTGTTGGACAGTAGGATTGAAAATTGTTTACACTTTATGGTNTCAAGTTACTGTAATTGAGTACTTTTTATGAGTAATTTGTAATTTTCTGAGTAGTTTTTGAAATATGTAATTTTTACTTTTAATCAAGTAAATTTTAACCTAAGTAGTTTTACTTTGCTACATTTAAAACCCCCTTACGTTACTGAGTAAAAAAAAAAAAAAATGGAGGAAAGGCCTGAAGAGGAAACATATTCTGGAGACGAAAGCCAGAAAAACCCTCGGCCATATTTGGAAGGATTATTTGTTTTCAAATGCACAAAAGGGAACAATGTGATAATGCAGTGCAACATGTGCCTGCCCAGCAAAAAGGAGCTTTCGGCTTTTAAAACATCAACATCCAATTTATGTAAAAATGTGCCGGTAAGTTAGTTATCATGGTGTTGTCTGTAGGACAGTAGGATTGAAAATTGTTTGCACTTTATGGTACAGGTTGTGACTGTCCTTGTGCTGTGAGGAAGTATGTTCCTTAGCCCAGCTGATCTTTTGCAAGTGTGGATGTCCACTGAAATACGCCTTGAAATCGATTAAAACACCTTGTGCTCAATTAGATTCATGACTCATCCTTTTTTTGCATTAAATAACTCAAAGTAACTTTTACTCAAATTACATTTTAAATGAAGTAATTTTGTACTTTTACTTGAGTAAATTTTGAGATGGGTAATTTTACTTTACTCTGAGTAGAATTTAGGCAAAGTAAAGATACTTTTACTTAATTACAATTTTTTTGTATTCTTTCCACCTCTGTAGAATTCACATGGGCTTAAATATTTAAAACATCTGCACAGTTATATATTAAGCATGATCCTCATGCACCAGGGTTATCTTTGGAGTTCCACAAGGCTGAGTGTTGGAGACATTTTTTTTTCCTCGTTTTATTTTCTCTTCTGCTTATTTTCCATACATCTCCATTTGTAAGTTAGCATCATCAAGTCATTTTTACTTGGCTGGGCTAAAAATCAGCTGAACTTAAACCTCTGGCAGAAACCTGACTGTAGGTAAGCCTAACTTTTTGCAGGTGAACAAAGGTAAAGAAAAAAAAAAAGTTAGACACCTGATTCTCATTGCAACAGAGCTCTTCTTTGGTAAAAGGACGCACTCTGAGGTAAATTTGCATCATCCCCTGTTCAGCTCCCCCTGGAATCATAGCCTATCAAAGTAGGAAAAAGAAATGTTTCAGGTGGATAGGCATGAGATTAGAGATTGCTGCTATTATTTGATTGGAGCAGGATGCAAAACACCTTACCTGTTGGACTAAAGGATTGCCGCCAGAAAAATCTCCTGTCATATCCATATCAATAATCTGCATATTCGTATCTTCCATTTTTCTTAAATCAAAAACTGTTCCTACTGAAAAAAACAGCTTGGATTATGCAAAAGACAGCAAATATTTTTCAGACTAGCAACAGCTGACCACTTTTAACCACACCACTATATGCTGAAGAAAAACTACTAATAAAAGCTCTGAGGGAACTTCCAATCACTTTTTATTGAAAGCAGGTGGTAGCTCCCACACATCATCATGTATGACCAACCAGAGTGGAGAACACTGCTCTAGATGCTTTAGGTTCATTCCCTAACAGTCAGCTGGTGAATAAATTGGCAAGAATTGATGAGGAACAGAAAAGGAGGAGTTTATTATGAGAGCAACATCTTAATCAGAGATTACCAATAAAAGGATTTGCAAATGTTATTTGCTGATAGCTGTTCTCCTTCCACAGCTTGACTTTGACTATGTAATTTTTTAAGTATATTTCCAGATAGGATTCATTAATTAAAAATTTTAATCATAAAACATAACAATGAAACTGCTACAATTCAGTAAAAACAGAAGTTGCTCCAGTGCTCTGACCTTCTCATACTGCATGCGAAATGGTTAGGTTATCTTGAGCTTTTTCTGTATTTATGTTGCTATAGGGTTAGGTTGCAGGAGGACATAGCGACCACTTTTCATCATTCTTAAGTATTTGTGTTCTGACTTTGTAAATGTGTGTTCTCTCTGCTTTTTCTCATCACATTAGCTAGTCTGTTCCTATTTGGTTGCCATCAACACTTTCGATCATAGATGACAGAGTTGGGTCTGTTTTTTCAGTGTAAAAAGGGCTAATTTAAGCGCTAGGTTAACTTTTTTATTTTTATCTCTGCTTCTTTTTCTATTTCTGCTTTTTTCTTATTGAACCCCTGTCCACCTCTACAGATGGCCGCTAACACTGACTTGCTGGCACTTTTTCTTCCTGTTAAAATGGAGATTTCCTCCCCACTGTGAGCATGCATGCTCGGTGTGAGGGACGACAAAATTAAAGATGATGATGGGTGTCCATTGCTTATTTGTTTGATTGTAAGCCAGCTTAAAGCCCATGACGTGACTAAAAAAATATCCTATAACACATTTCTAGCTCAACCTACCAAGCATGCAGCTTACTCTGCTTGTGCTTAGATGTTGCTGACCCAATGCTGCTAAATCATTTTTTAGTCATCCAAGTATTTGCATTTTTTATTAGAAAATACAAGCAAACTTTACCGGCTCCTTTTCAAGATAAACTCATAGATTAGAGTTTTTAATCTAAAAGGAAGAAGTGTTGTTTATCTTAGCCAATTATTTTACCATGTAGCTTAATGAATAAACGTCTTTGCTGTCATAACATAACTATCCTGAAACTGGATGCATTCATTAGTGTTCAGGTTTAAATTATTAAGAATTCACAAATAGCCTTTAATGAAAAGTTATTTTCAAACCAATGAATTAAAATATAATATGAAATGATAGAAATTATTTCTTAAGCTAGTTAAAGGATTCAAAACGTTCAAGGCTGCAACAATCCTCCTTTAATGCTTGTTTTATTTGGTCATGAAAAACTTTAACTTGAATTTGATCAACAGAATGTAGAGTGAAAATAAAAAATGGGGAAAAGAAGAGAAGCAACTGTTGTAGTTTTGCATCCATAAACCTCTGGTTGTAGGACTATTTTCCTGTTTCCATCCTACAAATAAATGTATTAAGATCATTGACATGAGTATTTTTGACATTCTGTTAAGGCAGTGATTCCCAAACATGGGTAGTGGTACCCCTAGTGGTCCACCAGTGCATTGCAGGGGGTATGTGAAAACATTTAATATTTTATTTCCCAGATAAAGATATACAATAAAACAGGTCTAGGATGTATTTTGCTCTGTACAACCAACCAAAAAGATTTTTAAAATGTCCTAATCGACATCTACATGAAAGACTAGAGTGGGCATTGGTGCTGTGCACCTGGACATCTGCTCTGCCATTGAGAGCAGGAAGACAGGGGCAAAGCCAAAGGTCACAAGAGAAGAAAGCACCAAAGCAGCTGCTGACAAGGATAAATGGCTAAAACATCCCATTGCTGGGGATTCAGGAGAAGGTCAGGCGACTCATTAACACAAGGCTGATTGATGAAAATGACGCAGTGAATCTGAATATTATTTTATTAAGTGTTATTTTACTAAGTTTAGATGCGAGTTGGGAACTTATTCACAAGAGCTAAGGTTTTTGTTAAAAACGTAGATTTGTAACTTGATTTGATTTTGCATTTAGTTTAAAACATATTCACTTTCCAGAAAACATATATGTAAATACAGTCCTATGAAAAAGTATGGGCAGTCCTATTAATCTTAGATATTTTAATTTCAAAATATTTGGGTGTTTGCAACAGCTATTTCAGTTTGATATATCTAATAACTGTATTAAGATTA